CCTTTGTTGTTTCCAATCGTCATTTTATCGAAGTTAACCACACACCTCCTTGGTAGTAAGTAGTCCAACCCTATATGCATTGGTCTTCAATGTCAGCCAAGTATAACTTTGTGTCTGTCCTTTATGCCCATGAGCTCAATAGTTACCCATACTGGTCCCCACAACCTTGCATAATGTCCTGTCACACCACAAAGCTTCTGTATGGCCTCTGGTACTCCTTTATGATCTAACACCTCGATGCTCACAAGGGTTTGCTAAGATGCAGAATCTATGACAAAGTTGCACCTTTGGTCATCCAGCTTCCCTGTCACGTAGACACTATGTGTGCTTGGCATTTTACACCTAGCTGTTGGGACTTTCAAGGTTCGGGTTGGTAGGCGTCCATCAACACGAACCACTACTGGTTTCCTTGAGGCTGACTAATTGGTAATATTCTTCTTACACTGGCTCCTCATATATTCTTGCTCTCCACAGTTCCAACAATCTTTCTGGGTAGCAGCCTTTTCTGTCGTTGAATATTCCCTGTGTTTAAGTTGCCAGTATTGAGCTCTTTTGTGCCCAGGTTTATTACAGTGCCAGCAAAGTCCCCCAAACTTAACCAAATGCTGCCCTCTTCTGGCCTTGAATCCTGATGATTGTACCAACCTTGGTACCTCTGTGCTGGACTTAATGTAGGATTCAAATTCAAGAGCTCTGGCCATTGCATCTTGTATAGTAGAGGGGTGTACTTGCTTTACTTGTATCTTCAGTTGTGGACTGTCCAAGGCATATACGAAATGATCCCTCAGCAGCCACTTGAGGAGATTGGGTGGTGCAGTTGGGTAGACCTTGTGTGCCATACTTTCCAAGTCCTGTGCCAGCTCTTGCAGGCTCTCCCCTTTAGCACGAACTCTAGTTTTAAACCTACCCCTGTAGATTTCGGACTGATTTTGGGTTCCATACCTGAGTTCCAGAGCAGCTACCAGTGCTCTGTGGTTGTGCCTGTCGGCTGCGGACAACTGTCCAAGTATTTCCAGTGTTTGTCTCTTCAGGCTCGTTGCAAGGTACACTGCTTTCTGCTCCTCTGTCAATCCATTCATTTCTGCCAGGAGCTCAAATTGTTCTCTATATGCTTCCCATGGTGCCTTCCCATCGAATTCCTAGTGTCTACATGACAGGAAAGCTGGATGGCTAAAAGTGCAAGTTTGTCCTAGATTCTGCATCTCAGCAAACCCTTGTGAGTATCAAGGTGCTGGATCACAAAGGAGTACCAGAAGCTGCACAGAAGCTCTGTGGTGTGACAGGACATTATGCAAGGTTGTGGGGACCAGTGTTGGTAATTATTGAGCTCATGGGCATGAAAAACAGGTACAAAGTATACTTGGCTGACATTGAAGACAAACGCATATTAGGCTTGAACTACTTACTACTGATGAAGTATGTAGTTAACTTTGATAAAATGCTGTTTGCGAACAACAAAGGCCAAATTCCGTTAAGTGTTGCTGCATCAGTTGAGTTGCATGTCACAGCACTTAAGTCAACTACAATACCCCTATGTTAGAGAAGATAATTTGGGTTGGAATAAAAGAACATCCCCAAGGAAGCCCAATGCTTGTGTAGGCAGTGGAAGACCCATCCAGGCCAGCAGACGTGAAGATTGGAAATTCACTTGTGGCAGGTCATCAAGTAGTACCCATAACAGTGGCTAATTTCTCTAAATATGAGCAGACAGTTAAGTAAGGGGTATTGTTGGGTGTGTGCCAGGAGGTAGAGCCAGTCAATGTTAAAGCAAGAAATACAACTATAAAGAAAGAACATACACTTCCAGAACATTTAACTGACCTCTATAAGAAGAGCATACTCCATTTGTCATCATCACATGCTCTATAGGTAAAAGAGTTTTTGGCGAATTATGCAGACGTCTTTTCGAAAGGAGATCG